CCACCAAGGTTGTAGAGGCTCCTGCTGCCAAAACCTCCACCACCGCCAAAACTGCCGCCACCACCTCCTCCAACGAGCTTCCCAAAGCCTCCTCCTCCTCCTCCTCCTCCTCCTCGTGCCACAGACACAGAGCTGAAGCCAGCCCTGTTGCTGCTTGGAATTATGGCCGAGGCAGCGCTGTAGGATCGGCCTCCCCCTCCTGCCCTCATGCTGAGCGCCCGGTTCATCGCGGCGGCACAGAAGGGCCCCACACAGCCAGAGAGACTCTGCAGCTCTCTGGGGAAAGGCAATCAGGGTGCCCCTTTTATCCCCCGGGGATCTGGGCTTGGCTGCATGGAAGTCCAGCGATCAATTTAGTGCCTTCATGGTTTTGACGTGCCAGGAGGCAGCTGTCTCCCTGAGACTTGTTAAACCCTGATTGCACCCAAACACGCCTCCTGGGGCTGGATCTGCTCAGCTGGAAGAGTTATCTAACACCCAGATTTCTATCTCCTCACAGAGATGGGTTATTGCATTTTGTATTATTTTGCTTAACCCTGGAGGTGTCCAAGGCCAGGTTGTGAGAGCTTGGAGCAACCTGGATTAATGTAAGGTGTCCCTGCCTGTGGGGGGGATGGAATGAGATAGGCTTTGAGATTCCTTCCAACCCAAACCATTCTGGGATTCCATGATTCTATAATTTCCTTACTGTGAAAAAAAAATAAAATTAAAATGTGATAAAGCCAGAAATAATGTCTTTGATTCACAATTCTGCTTAAAGGATGCAGCACATCAACACAGAGATCAGTGGAGAGTCCTCTGGACTAACTCAAGTGAAAGACAGAACAAAATGGTTAAATCTGAACAAAAATAATTCATGGGGTTTCTTCACCTGAAGGCAGAAGGTGGCTTGATGCTCATGAAACCTGACACCCCTTTTGGGGCTCTAATTTATCCAGTTTGCTGTTCCTACTCCCTGGGCAGGGACCATCTCTTTGGGATGACTTGACAAAGAGGTCCTGATCAAGTTTTCCTCTTTCTCCTTTCCAGATGTAAATACCACCTCAAATTTGGCCCAATTATATTCATTATTTGGCCTATGGCAGACTTTCTATGCTATTCCTCTGGATATTTGCATTTCCAGAGGACAACTCCATTCCATGCAGAGGCTGTGTTGTGATTTCTCCAGCTAGCTGATGATGTGATTGATGCATTTTCATCTTGATTAAAAACCATTTCAAAAAAAGAGGCAGATTTTCTGAAAAACTCTCTGCCCATCTCTGTGGAATGATGTGATTTTCCCACTTTAGGATGTAATCAGTCCTGAGTTTCTGTCTCTCTCTAGCTCTGATTTCTTTTAAAGACCTTTGAACATTCCATCCAAAACGCTGCCAGAAGCAGATTTAACCAGCATGAAAAATACTCCCACAAATCCTCCTTATTTTACTTCCCGGAGTCCTTGGGAAAAAAGATACATTCAACAGGGTGTGGTGACATTTTCTGGTATCTCAGACTTTGTGGAACTGCAATGTTGAGAGTATTTTATCCCTTGCATGTCAGAGCTCAGCTGTTCTTTGGCATGAGGCTGCCCTGGTGGCTTTACCTGAATTCTGCAGGACTGGAGCTTAAATATATTTACAGGACAGGACTCTACTTGCCTTTCAAAACACATCCCTGTGCCCCAGAGCTACAAAATCATTAAGGAGCTAAAATCCCACTGCCATCTCTGGAAGAACACCTAAACAGGTGCTACTGAATACAGAAGACCAAATATCTGATTATCCCTGGATAAATGCTGCTGGGCAGGCTCAAATGGAGAGCTGGGGCACTGAACGAGAATTTCCCTTTGCAGTGAGACATTATTTCAAGATGGTGCAGGTCAGCTTGTTTCTTCTTGGAAAATGTGGGTCTGAACCTGGAATGTCACTTGAAATTCATGAGCATCCATTGCCTCCGTGATTTGCATAAAATTCAAAGCCAGGGTGCGATGGGAAAATGAGATTTTGTATTCATGGTTCCTTGACCCCAGTAAAGGCAGCTTGTCCTGAAGCTGAAGAACGGGTTCAGATCAGATGTTGGAGCTGAATTAATGTAATGGGATTAAAGGTGGGGCTGCCAAGAAGAAAGAAGGAATTGTCACTTCAGGCTCCCACACTCTTCTCCCCTCGGCTCGTTATCCACAGGGTATGTGAGAGACGCAAAGGCCACCTGAAAAATGCTCCTTTCCCTCCTGGGCTGCTTGGTGGTGTGGAGGACGCAAGGGCTGGCGCTCCAAACCCAGAGGCAGATGTGGCATTTTCATGTCTGTTTGCATCAACTCTGCCAGGCGCTGGGCTCAAGCTGAGAGAGGGAAAGTCAAAGCCAAATATAGGGAAGAAATTCCTCCCTGTGAGGGCGGGGAGACCCTGCAGTGGATTTCCCAGAGAAGCTGTGGTTGCCCCATCCCTCAAAGGGTCCAAGGCCAGGCTGAATGGGGCTTGGAGCAACCTGGGATAGTGGAAGTTGTCCCTGGACATGGCAGGGGGTGGAAGAAGAAAGTTTTATAAGATCCTTCTAACCCAACCATTCCATGAATCCATAGTTTTGGACTCTATCAATTTACAAAAGGGTCCGTCCAGATTTACACTGTGCAGGATTTGACCTCCACCCACCCCAAACCCACATTCCTGGCTTTTTTCTCTCCAAAATACCCTGATCTACATGAACATCTGCAAGCAGGCAGCAGCAAACATGGCTTTTGCAATAGCTGGGAGTTGAGGACAGGGATGATTAAAGGTTTTTTCCCAGAAATGCAAGAGCTGCCAGACTGCTTTTGCCCCCTGGGGAGCTGGCTGGTGTTTGGTGTTCAGGTATTGCTTTGCAGGGAGATGATCAACATAAATTATGAGCTGCTGGGGCACTGGAAGCTTCTTGTTTTGGGTGTTTCTGCTTGGTATTTACATAGAAATGAGATGGAGCCTGAGTTGTGTTCACAGAGCAGAAAAGCTGAAGACAACATTTCCAAAAACATCTTTAGCAGGGCAAGTTTTGCTTTCTCACCAAGGGCTGACCCACTTGGCTTTCACCACCCCCCAGCCAACTGTGGCATTTATTAAAACAGAATTAGTGCTCTGCTCCCAGTGATCACATCCAATATACCACGAGGGGAGCCAGAATGCCCCATGGTGGGAGAGCAGCAGAGGCCAGAGCTCATCCCACACTGGGTTCATCCCCATCCCACCCACGAGGACAGAGTCTGGCATGGGGGCTGAGCTCATCCTCCAGCCCTGCAGAGGTCAAGGAGAAGAAGCTGTGAGTCAGCAGGGAGGTCTTGGAAGCAGGGTGGGACATGGGGGGATAAATTCCAGCCCCTGCTTCTTGGTGAGCCTTTCATGGGCACATGAACCTGCCCGCAGCCTGTGCTGCCCCGGGCTGGACACAGGGATTTCTCCAAGGGTGATGCAGAGCTGGCTCAGGGGCTGTTGGCTCTGCCATGGGGAGCTGTGGGAAGCGACAAGCTGCAGGGCTGGTTTGTTTTCCTGTGATTCCAGCTGTCCATCCAGCTGGGCTGAGTTGCCACCATGGCAAGGTCCTCCCAGCCAAGTTATGGAGACCCATCAGGGCGTCCCTGTCCAGGGGAACTGGGAGCCCTGCAGAAGTCCAGGAGCATTGGGACAACGCTCAAGCATCTAGTGGGACTTTTGGGGTGTCCTGTGCAGGGCCAGGATTGGGATTTGATGATCCTTGTGGGTCCCTTCCCAGCCAGGATATTCCACGATTCTATGAACCTCACGGAGAAAAAGGAGAGGATGATGTGATTTCTCCTAAATCCCAGTTTCCTAAAATTGTGAGAGAGGGTTTTCCCTCCCTGGAAGGGATGATGGAGGAGCATGTCTAGCCACATCTCCAGACCCTGCTCTTTGTGTGAGTTCACGTATTTTAAGGAAGGTGGCAGTTGAGGAAGAAGCCCCTGGAGCTGCATTTTGGGAAACTGCACTTTGCTCTTACCTTCTTCTAAAATCAACCCACTCTTGTGAGAGGGTTTCACAGGTGTGGTATGGGATTATTTTCCTGTTCCTCCCTGAGCTGCTTCTCACTGATTTCCTTAAAGAAGGGCCTGGCTGCCTTTTTGTTCCATCTCCAGAGATCCCAGACACTGTGAGAGATCCCAAGCAAACTGCATACCCACAGATGGTAAATAGCCTCCTTTCCAGACTTCCTTGTGGCCACACTAATCAGTGGATGGAATAAAGGTATGCAAAGGTGCTTCAGGAAAGAGAGCAGACAAAATCTTCTTGAAGCTCCAAACTCCACCCATTTGGAGACTCAGGTTTGAGGAAATTTCTATGATTTGCACTATGAGGGAGGGAAACAAAGCCCAGGCAGTGCAGCATGAATTATGCATGGAGTTTATTGAAGGTACAGCTGAAAGTCTGGAGTAAGCGAAGGGTAATAACTCTGTTCACTTACACATGAAAAGCTTTAACTCCGTCTATTGCACACAGGAAAAACAACACATGCATTTAACTACAGAAATATAAGGTGCTCGTTGGGGTGTAATTAAAATCTGCTCTACCAAACACAGTGTAGCAACCTGGACCAATTTGCATAAGCATTCCCAACCCTCTTGTAAACAGGAAAAATTGGATTTTCTGCTGTCATTAAAGAAGTAAATTACAGCTGCAGCTTTCTCTTGGACAATTAAATTGTGGCTTCTCTCTCTGAAGTTGGGATGACCAGATTTTTCATCCTTTCGCAATAGCTGCATTAAAAGTCTCTGCTGGAAAGGGGTCAAGCAGGGCAGGGTGACCGAAAAGCCAAGATGATGAGTGGAGGCAGGGAGATGGTCTCTGAAATTAAAATCTCACCTGGCTGGGGGGGACGGGGGGGCAGGGGGGAGTTTCCCCCAAGAAAGACATCAGGGAGAGGGTGGGTTTTATCAGGCTAAGGGTTCAGGCAGAGCGGTGTCCTAGCGCATGGTTGTGTGATCCCTGTGGCTGTCAGAGGGAGGGGGAATACTGTTTTATTGCAGAAATGCTGATTATTATAAAATCTGCCGTCTCGGGCCCGCCGCTCTCTACCGGCTCGTCCTGACGACGCGCACGGCTGTGCTGAACCTGTTCCCGCAGACCCCCGGCGCCCCGGGGATCAGCACGGCGCCGGGCCCGCACTGCTCCACGCCCGCGCACACCACGCTGCCCAGGTTGCCCAGGTTGCCCAGGTTGCCCATCCCGGCGGCGCACTGCACCCCGTCCACGCCGGTGAGCACCTCCCTCCCCACGCAGCTGACCGCGCTCCGGGCCCCGAATCCCGCCCCGACCTTGGGCACACAATCCACGCTGCGGGCGCTGAACCCGGCGTTGCCGAAGGACGAGACCATGCCCAGCCCCGCGCCGGCCCCTCCGCTCTTCACGGTGCATTTGCCTCCGATTCCAGACAGGGACCGGCACTCCCCGACCGTGCCCCCGCCGCTGACCACGGCTGCGGGAGAGAAACACGCTCGGTCACGCCCGGAGCAGCCAAAACCCGGCTCAAAAGGAGCGTTGCGAACTTAAAAAGCTTGTAAGGAAATCGAGACGGGGTTCATTAACTCACCTACGCTCACAGGGTTGCCGGTGCATATCCTGTCAAGGAAAGAAACGTGTCAGACATGTATTTAGGGACATATTCCTCAAATTCACAAGCAAACAGAGCCCAGCCACTGCCTCCTTAGAAACCTGACGTCCTTCAGCTCGTTAGGGGCACTCTGCTGAGAGATGCTTGCCCACCAAAGCACTGCAGCGTTGAGTCCCTAATTCCATGGTCTTACTAATATCCCATCCTCTTTTTGGATGGGGGTGTGATCCCCTCTGCACCCAGTGGGAGGGAAAAGGGACTCTGCCCCCCTCTGCAGCCCTGGGTGCAGCATTTCTTTCTCCTCCCGTTGTCTTTTGCTGATCATCCTTACAAGGTGCATGCAGGGCTGCTCCTACCTGCTCTCTTCTCCCTCCAGCAGCGTCCTGTACGTGGCAATCTCAATGTCCAGGGCCAGCTTGACATTGAGCAGCTCCTGGTAGTCCCTGAGCAGACAGGCCATCTTGTCCTTGGCCTGCTGCAGGGCTGTCTGCAGGTCAACCAGCTTCTGCCGGGCATCCTTGAGGGCGCAGTCTCCTCGTTGCTCGGCATCACAGATGGCTGTCTGCAGGGCTGAGATCTGGGGACAGCCACAGGAGGACATTCCCACAAAGCTTCAGTCAAGTAAGGTAAAGCCCATCCAGTCCCATCTCCTGCCATGGGCAGGGACATCCTCCACTAGCCTGGGCTGCTCCAAACCACATCCAGCCTGGCATTGGATGTGGTTCCTTCCAGGCACAATTCCTCTGGGCAAGAGGGCAGCCAAGGATGATATTAAGGGGTATCTCCACAGTGTTGCTCATATATTCCTCAGCCAGGAAATGCCAGAGAGACAAGATTTAGGCTGGATTTGTGGTGGCCAAGATACTTGGGATGAAGGGAATGGGATCTGTTGGCTACAGCCTGGTGGGAGCTCACAGCAAACACTTATTCTGGTACTGCCAAACCCATGGACTTCTTATTTGCAAAGTGAGAAGTAAATCTGCTTTTTTGTGTGCATGAGCAGCAGATGAGAAGTTACAATAGACCTAATCTGGGGCAGGGGGCTCTTTGCAGCCCCACAGGGTGGGAGCTGGTAGGACAATGCCCTTTGATGGAGGAGCTGCACTCCCAGGTGGATCCATCCCTTGGTCCTACCTGTTTCTTCACATTGTCCGACTCACACTGCAGCTTCTGGATCATCCTGTTGAGTTCGGCAATCTCACTCTGGTTGTTCTTCAGGTCATCACAGAACTTGCCCCGGCTGCTGTGGAGTTCCTCCAGCTGTTGCACGGGAAGGGGATGATGTCAATGCACCCAAATCCCCCTTCCCAGGCCCCCCTCCTCCCCGGGAAGTTGGAAATCTCTGAAGCTGCACCAGGGTCAGTGTTCCCTGGGCACCACCCAGACATGGCCTCAGCCCGGATAAGGTGAGGGTCTCAGGGGGTCCTGGACTTGCTGATCTTGGAGCTCTTTTCCAGCCTTAGGGTTCTATGGTTTGCCCTTTGGGAAGTAATGATGCTCCTCAGAGTGCATGAAGGGGACATCTCTAAACACTCTGATCTGCTCTGCGTGTACCAAAATGTCTCAAACCACACTTTTAAGGTTGGTTTGTGTTTGGGGTGTTTTTTGATACAACTTTCTTAAGCAAACTGAAGCCAATACACAGTGTGAGGTGGGTTAAAGTTGTATCATGGAGGATGGGAATGGTCTCAGGAATGGTCTCAGGAATGGTCTGTCACAGAAATTTGTGGAATACTCACCCTGGTTTGGTAGAAAGCCTCCACCTCGGCCTTGCTCTTCTGGGCAATCTCCTCATAGCAGCACTCCACGCTTTTGATGATGCCCTCCATGTCCAGGTCCCGGCTGTTGTCCATTTGCACGATGACAGAGGTGTCGCACAGCTGACAGTCCAGCTGAGCCCTCTCCTGCAGGACCAGAGCATCAGTTCCATTCCCTCACCCAGCCCCAGCCAGGCCAGCAGCAAGCCCAGCAAGGGGGGTCTGGTTGGAGGAGCTTCTCCTCTGAACTCCCAGCATGGGGTTTTCCACTTGGGCAACTTGTGTCCAGGTACACCTGGCAGCCGGGACCTGTTTTGGTGGCACAACAAGGGATGGCTGCATGCAGTTCCCTAAGGGAGGGTGGGGAGTTCTGGTGAAACAAGCCACTTCTGCATTCCTGGCTGTGCCAGTGCTTTCCTGGATTGGGAATCCTCACGTTCTTTGCGCCCCACTGACCCCTGCTGAGGGCGTTTAGCTCAAAAAGGTGTCCATGCAAAGTGCCCCCTGTGTGTTTTGTTAAAAATTGTGGAATTGTAAACAGAAGTGTTATTTTCATAAAAATATTTTTACATTTTGACTACTGTAAAAAAAAAAAAAAAAAGGGCTAGAAACATTTGGCCAGCCCAGGGATGGTTTGGATTAGAATTTGAGAGGTTTTCAGGCAAAAGATCCCTCCCCTTGTGAGCAGCAATGTAGCAACTAAGACTAAATAATGCCTTCCCAAAGTAGGTGTGACAGCATTGTTCTCAAATACATCTAAAAGACAACAAGTTTTGGGCTGCAATTCTAGGATTTTCAGAAAAGACACTTTTCCCTGCACTCTTGGTGTAAGACTCAGGCGGGAAGGGCAGGAGATGATGCCTCAGCCCAGGGAGCAGATTGGGCCAGGAGCTCTCACCTCGGCATAGATGCACTTCAGGAACTCCAGCTGCTGTCTCAGGAGGCCCACCCTCACCTCCAGCTCCTCCTTGGTCAGGTAGAGACAATCCACATCCTGGAGAGATACCAGGAATTTGGTGAAAAGAGGTGAAGGAATGACTGTGGCAAATCCCACATTTTCTTTACATTAGGAGAAAACTCCACCATGTCCAGCCCTTAGCACTATGTGGGTTTGGGCTTCATGTGCTGAATAATTCAGGGAGGCCCTCCAGATTCCTTGGGTTGCCTCAGTTTTGGGGCATCACGCTGTGCCATGGTGCCAGGACTCCCCACTTCTCCCACTGACCCCAACCCAGGGTTTGCCCCCCCTTATCTGGCCCTGGCTCACCTTCTTGAGCACCACGAACTCGTTCTCTGCTGCCGTGCGCTTGTTGATCTCATCTTCATACCTGCAGGAAAGCAGAGCAGGGGGGTGCTGAGCCCTGGGGGTCCCATCTCCATCACCCAACCATCCACTGCAGACTGTGGGAAATGAGATTTCACTTTGCACCTCATTTTTTATCTTTTTTTTTTTTTTTGGTTTCATTGCTGTTTCTTACCCCCTCATTGGGTTTTACTCAGCAGTTTTAGCCATGCCAGTGCTTTGGGTGGCTGGAGTCAGAGGACAGAAAATCCAGCCAAACCACCAGAAATGCAAAGCTGGAGGCTTGGGTTGCTGCTTCCAGCCCTTCTGCTTTGTGAGATGTTTTTGCAGAGCATCCAGGACTGTGCTCAGAGTGTTTATGGAGAGACTGGCCAAAATGCTCCAGGGGAAGTTCAGGAGCTTGAGCAAACTGTGAAACTCCAGGGTGCAGTGGGGAGCACAGTCAGGGCATAATGAATCAGTAATTGGGACCTGCAAGAACTTTCACAAGATGCTGATTCTGTGAGTTGGACCTGCTCAGTAGTGGCTCAGCAAGAAAAAACACCTCAGATGGTGAACTCTGGGGAAAGTTGATCCAGTGACCTCGTTTGTGGCTTAGTAGAGCACATGGGGAGATATTAAGGAGCATCTACAGCTTAGATTAAAAAAAAAAAAAAAATTCCCACATTCCTTCTGGGAAGAGAGAATGAATCCCAGCATGATGTGGATAAAAGAGTGCGGTGGAGAAAATTGGCTGAGGGTTTTGTTTGTTTTGTGGGAATGGATGGCACTGGGGGAAACACAGGAACAGGTGGTGGGGGAGATTTGATATGGCAAACCACATGGGTTTGCAGGAAGCAGAGGAAGAATGGCTTCCAATCCTGCTCCCTAAGGAAACTGGGCTTCAAAACGTCTCCCAGTCCATCTCCAGTGCAGGAAATTCACCCACTACTGCAGTGCCTTGCCCTGTGCCCCAGTTTGTTGATCCATCCAGTGCAATTTCCTTAGATTCACACTCAGGGACACCACCCAGGCCAGCAACATCCTCCTCTGCAGCTTCCCTGTGTGTGACTTACTTGCACTTGAACTCCTGCACCAGGTCCCGCAGGCACCGCTCCTCATTCTCCAGCCGCTCTCGCTCCCCCATCACACACTCCAGCTGCTTCCTCAGGTTGCAGATGAAGTTTTCAAACACAGGCTCCAAGTTTCTCCGGGATGCTGGGAGCACATACTGCTGCAGCAGCTCCCACTTGGTGGTCAGCACCTTGTTCTGCTGCTCCAGCAGCCGCACCTGGGCAGGGAAGAGATGGGAGGGTCAGGCTCTCCTGTCCCAGGGTTTCTGTACTTCCCAAGGGGAAAAGTGAAAATCAAATCAGAATTGCAAATGGTCAGGTGCTGCTGTCTCAGGGGGTTGAGCGGCACCAGCATCTTCTCTGAGCTAAACTGGTCCCACCCAGGACTCGAATCTCAGGCTGAGCAACATCAGTGCCTTCATTCTGTGTGGAGGCCAAGCCTGGGTTCAGCCAACGCTTGCTCAGCCAGACACCTCCACTCCTGCCCCAGAACTGGATCCTCGGCCCAGGGCAGTAACAAGTCTTTCTCAGCACTAAAAGCTCCATCCAGGACCTCATTTGGATGTATCTGATTTAAACTCCAATCGTGGATACTTATCATGCCTTTACACTTCTAGATTAAAGGGCTCTCTAGGAGTTTGATGGGTCATGAATAAGTCATTTTACAAATGGGAAGAAGCAGGAGTTGCTGCTCCTGGGTGGATTCAGTTTTTCCGGTTGCAGAACAACTCTCCAGGAAAATCAAGATCAGATCAGACAGAGCAGATTTTCTTTGCTGTTTGAAAAATTCTTTCCCATAACAGCTCTCTAAACAGCCATGAAAACTCTTACATGTAGCCAAGAAAACAATGATAAATTACATCTTTTTAGGAAATCACCAAATAATTTTGTTCATAGAGTGGAGGGACAAAGAAATTAAAATCGTTCCTCCCATTTTAACTAAATTCATCCTTCCACATCACCTTCATGAAACACAAATTATTTTAAGAATGCAGAAGTCCTTTGGAGTTTATAGATTTGTGAGAGCAACATCAGATTATACACTTGAAATAAAATTTCCTATCCTTCAGTGCTTCATCTCATCACTCATAGGTTTGGATTTACAATATCCCTGGAGCTGGTCCTGACCCCTTTAGCAGGTTAGTGACCATCCAAAGGTACAACACTAGTAGTGTTGTCTTGGTGAAAGGCTAAAATCCAGAGGGTGCCCAGGCCAGGACCACCATGGCTCATAAGAAAGGTTAAATACCAGGGCACCAGGAGAAATAGCTCCCCATGTTGTCTCTGGGGACACACACGGGGTGGGGAAAGCGGGCTCTCACCTTGTCAATGAAACAGGCAAACTGGTTGTTGAGGTTCTTGATCTGCTCCTTCTCGTGGGTCCGCACTTGGCACTCCTCGGGGTCCACGCCCACGCACAGGGGCTTGAGGAGCTCCGGGTGGATGCTGACGCCGCGAATGCCCTCGGACCTCCCTCCGCCGAGGCCGATGCCGATGCCGCCGCCGTAGCTCCCCATGGCCACGCCATCCCCCAGGCCTCTGTAGCTGCCCAGGCCCCCGAAGCTCGCACAGTTCCCAAAGCCCACGACGGTGCCGAAGCGGCCCCCGCCGTACGCGACGCCGCAGCGCCCGACGCCAGCCCCGCCGTAGACGCCGCTGCGGCAGCTGCCACCGAAGGAAATCCTCTGGCCTCGGCCCAGGTCACAGACGCTGCGGCTGCTGAAGCCACCGATCCCACACCTCCGTCCCACGGGCTGGCAGACGGAGGCCGAGCTGCTGTTGGCCCTGCCCAGGCCGCAGACGGCGGAGGCCGAGGAAAAGCCTCGTCTGCCCAGGATGGAGCCGGAGGTGTAGCACTGTCGGCTCATGGTGGCTGGGGTGGGTGGGCAGTGACAGCGACGCGGAGGAGCAGGGCCTGGAAGAAGGAGATCTCCTTTAGCTCCTCTGAGGCAGAGCCCTTCTCCTTATATACATTTCAGGAGGTGCCTCAGATGCAAAAATTTAATTTATCCACTGGGTTTGGTCTGCCTGGCAGCAAGGAATGGCTTCCAACATTTTAAACCCACAGCAAACACTTCTATCTCATATGAAATAATGTGGAAATTAAAATAAACTGCTTTGCTTGCAAGCTTCTGTTTCAGGACTTATATTTTACTTAATTAATCTGCTTCCTTATTGTGTAATTATAGTTTAGCAAAATAATTCAAGGGGTTTTTATTCATGGCTTGTTTACGGTTTGGTTTCACCACAGCGTTTAATTACATTTCAGGACCTCCTGCAGAATGTCGTGGGGATGCCGCCCCTTTCAGGGTCCACGGCCAGCTCCGGGCGGGCTCTTGAGCAATGACCGCTGCTGACAGGGACAGGGAAGGCGGATCCAGCCCGGCTCAGCACTGACGTTGTTGGGAGCGCTCTCGTAAGCATTTATTCCTTCCTCTTGTGGGGATGGCTGTGGCTCTGGGAGGGAATTCGGGTGCTGACCGTCAGGATGGGGCTGGTGGCTCCCATACGGATGGAGCAGGAGCCGCGTGAGGTGGTGCCGAGGATGAGTTTGGTCATGGGGAGGATGCTCTGGGAGACTGGGGGTTCACAGAATCGTGGAGTTATGGAATGATTTGGCTCGGGAGGGACCTTAAACCTCATCTCATTCCACCCTCTGCCCTGAGCAGGGACGCCTTCCACTGCCCCAGCTTGTTCCAAGCCTCATCCAGCTTGGCCTTGGTCACTTCCAGGGAAGGGGCAGCCACAGCTTCTCTGGACAGCCTTTGCCGCAGCCCAGTGGGGCTTCCACTGCCCCTTAGCGTACCTGAAATTGAAGATAAGGCATTTCTGGGAAATGAGAGTGATTTATTACTGAGTTATGTGCCCAGGGAAAGTGCTACATTTCAAACATGGGACCGGGCACACAGCAGATTCACTGGAACAGGAGAAGTAACAAAGAAGGGAAGTGTTACAAGCGGGTTGAGAAATGTCAGGTGGAGTGAAGGTTTTGCCTGGTCATCCTTTGACACACCTTTTTGACTTTAAATCCATCCAGTAGTATCTGGTAATGAGAAGGCATCGTCCCATCTTAATTAAAATTCTTAAAAAGATTTTTGAATTTGCTTGGAAACAAAGTTCCTTTTTTGTCTTAAAAAGGGGGTCTAATAACAGAAACAAAAGGAATTGCAGAGCTTGCCCTGAGAAATCTTTACATCTTTGCTGGGGCAAAATTAACTGTTTCTGAGAGGATTCGGTGCTATTGTCAATGTGAAATGCACAGGAAGTCAGGAAGAAGAATCAGGATATTTAGAATATTTTTGGAGTATTTCCTGGAAGGATCTTCCCTTTTTTTTTAACAGACCTCATAATGGGTTGAAATGAAAAAATTACTATATTTAATTATAATCATGTAGTGGTTCTGTTATAGCTATGTTGGTCTGAGTATACATAGATGCACATCTTGCAATGAGATGTACTTTCATAGAGTTGTGGAATCATGGGATGGTTTGGGTTGGAAGGGACCATAAAACTGATCTCATTCCAACTCCCTGTTGTGGCCAGAAACACCCTTCACTATCCCAGACTGCTCTCATTCACAGAGAGCTGGAGAAATCAAATGAGCTTTTGGGCACCACATCCTTCATGTCCCTTCAAGGTAACCCAGGCACTGGGACCTCTTGCATGCAAGTGAAAAGAGAAGAAATATTTTGGAGATGAGTTTTATTTTGAGCCAAAGCATTGGTGCAATACCTGGAGAAGACTCTGGGTGTGTGAAGCCAAACATGGAGCACTGCCTGGGGACAGGGTGTTCACAGGTAGGACAAAGCATCACCGAGCCCTTAGGGAGTCCAGACATGACCTTCATGAACTTTTTTAGGCTGCCACAACCACGGGCAAGCTGAAAAGAGGGGGAAGCCAGGCTCCAGTCCTGCTTTCCATGTGGCTCAGCCCTGCACAGCTGCAGGATCTGGAGCAGCTGCTGCTCCGAGCTCTGCTGCCCAGCAGAACCTCAGAGAGACTGCATCTCCTCCTCATGGCCAGAAAGATGTGGCCCTTTTCCCTTGAAGACAGCAACTTTCCAGTTTTTCCAGCTGTGAGAAATGTGCATCTGGCTGGGGTCAGGTCCCAGTTATCCCCCATGTCTCTGCTCAGCCACCGTGGAGTGCCTTGTTCCACATGAGTGACATGCATTTCAGGACTCTAGACCCTCCAAACCCCTGGTTTTGTTGGAAAACAGGGAAAATGCTGCTCATGGGACAATCACCCTCCACCAGCTGCAAGCCCTGAGATCCCTTCTTGTGTATGAAGAGTTGTTGGGCTGTTCCTCCACAAAAAACCTGATCTTCAACCTCTGGCTCCTGCTCCTGTCCCTAAGAAGTGGCTTTTCCAGGTGCCCAGCCTTGCACATCAGAGGAAGTCAGTCCAGGGCAGCACCTGTGGTTTGCAGCTGCTGAGCTTTCACAAAGCCAGTTCAGAGTCACATGGTGGAGGTTCCACCAACTTCAAAGCAGCAAGGACTCCGATGGGATTTGGGCTTCCCAAGAGAAGGTTTGCAATGGTTTTCATGCACAGGTCATCTTCCTTGAGACCTTTTCATGTGTCCTCACTTTGTCCTGGCTGGTTGTGGGTGAGATGGTGTTGGACCCAACCTTCCAAGGAGGACATGAAACCGCTTCTCTCAGGGATTTATCTTGAATTTAAACCTACAGTTTCCACCCAGGTTTACAGGGGAAACCCCTGAGCTGCTTGGCCCTAAACATTCCTTGAGCTGTGGTGGCTTTCATGAGACTTTAGAACGTTTGAGATTTACATGTGCCCAGATAAATTCATTCTGCTTAAGCACCTACTAAACTGGGACCTGCTGAGCCACCCCTGTAGACAGGGAGAGCCTGGGGATATTTCCAACCTGTTGTTGGGATTCTGGATGAAAAAAACATCCAACAGCTCCCGAGTCTGCTTTGTCCCAGCGAGAAAAGCTCTTTTTAAGACCCTCTCCTTGAAAAACAGGGCTGTCAGGGCTGGTGCTGGTGGTGTGCTCCCTCCCTCCCTGCAGGCTCAGCAGTTTTTGTGGCTCCCTGCAGAAGGGACACAAAGTCACCATTAAAAGGGTTAATGAGGCTCTCAGGACACCTCCCACTGGTTTTGCTGGTCCTGCTCTCCAAAGGTGGCTGTTCCATCTTGTAAGTGCAGCTTGATTCGGTTCCCACATCAAAGCAGACAGGGATTAGTAGAGATGGGGTAGAGATGATGGTCTGAAACTGGGAACCAGTAACCTTGCTCCACAGCCGCTCCTCACCCTCAGCCTGGGTCATCCCCGTCCATTTATGCTGCTTTGGGCAAAGAGATGGAAAAGAATTCCTGAGGTTCCTTCCAGGCTGTTCCATGACTCCTGCCCATATGTACCGCTTGCATTTGAGGTGTTTCCAGGCACAGCCTTCCCAGAACTTCACCCTTCCCTCTGCTGGACTCTGGGTGACCCCTGTGGTGCCGTCACCACTGTTGGGGTGTTGTGACAGTCTGCTCAGAGAGCAAACTGAGGGAATAGGATGCACCTGCCCTCCTGGCAGCCAGGAGGGACACCACCTCCTGGTGGCACCAGGCACAGCCTGGCCAGGCCAGGGAGGAGGATTGTCCTGCTGTGCTCTGGGCTGAGGCAGCCTCACCTCCATTTGGGGGGCAGATTTGGGTGCCACAATATAAGGAAGACCTAAAGATGTTGGAGAGGGTCAAAAGAAGGGACATGGGGATGGGGAAGGGTCTGGAGGGGCCACATGAAGTCAGCCTGGAGGAGGCTGAGGGAAGACTCGTCAGGGGCTGCATCTTTGTCTCAAGGGGCAACTCTAATCTCTGCTCTCTGTGAGCAGGGACAGGACCCAGGGAACAGCTGGAGCTGTTCAGCAGGATCAGGCTGGATACTGGGAAAAGGTTCTGCCTGCAGAGGGTGGTCAGGCACTGAACAAGTTCCCTAGGGAATGGTCATGGGCACAAGTCTGCCAGAGCTCCAGGAGCCTCTGGACAGTGCTCTCAGGCACATGATTTTTGGGATTTTTGGCATGTCTTGTACAGGGTCAGGGGCTGGACTGATGATTTGGGTGTGTCCTTTCCAACTCAGGATATTCCATGGTTCTATAAAGTGCCCCCACCAAAGTGGTGTCTCGCAGGAGGAACACATGGAGCCTCTTTTGGAAGAGACAAAGAGGTTTCATACCAACCACCACAAGTGTCCACACCTTTCTTTGTAACATTCCTCCTTTGCACAGGAATTTGTGAGGCATTTTGACATCGTTCAGACAACTTTGTGCCAGTGCTCAGGGCCGAGGGGAACACAAGGGCTCTAAGTAATGGGGTGGGATCAGAGTGGTGGTGTCAGGATGAAAGAAAAACAGCCAGAAAGGAGTCCTGGAGAGAAGGAGCCCCCCAAAGGCAGAAGGTGCCCACTGGAAGAGTTTTTTGGGGAAAGGTTGGCAAAAAATCTCCTATGGGGAGTGCATCAGATGTGGAAGTGGGAAATAGGGCTATGCTGTTTCACAGGATAGCTGTCTTGTCTCTTCTATGGTACAGGTGGTTTTATTCAGAAAAGGTGTTCCTTCATGCACAGAGCCAGCTGGGTATCCTGGAGGTGCCTTCCAGCAGCTGAGTGAAAGGGAGTGTGGGAGGAGGGAAATTCAGCCTCAGAATTTCAACTAGTTCCCATCGATATGTGTGGAAATCTGTCTGTGTGTCACGCCAGTATCTGCAGCACCACAGGGAGGAGCTGCTCAGTGCTTGAGGTAGCAGAGTTAATTTTGCAAACTTTTGTTGTAGAGTTTTCTTTAAAGCAAAAGTGAAGTGGAGACAATGCACAAACATTTCATGCTGTTTGCTGGCAGCAGAGCAGAGAAGGCTG